AGCTTGTGATAATTTTTCCTTCTCACATTTTACTCTATTTATGGTTTAAAAAAACCAAAAAGCCACTTGCTTAAAAGCAAAAGCAACTTATCAATTGCAGTGCCACATATAATGGAAGCATTTAAAGATTTTTCTTTCTTAATTTTGAGAATGGCATTTTTTTATTTAAATATGCATAGTGCACAGGATTGCCATATATATTCAGTTTGTTTCCATTATAAGTTGCTACTTACTTTAAGGTAAAGTTTTTGGATTGGTTCCATTGTCTCAAGTAGCAGATGATAGCAATATTACAGGAGTGCCTCAATGTAATGACATTAAATTGCAAGTGTTTCACTTCAGCTTTTTCTGACCATGAAATACTGCAGTATCTGTAAAGCTTTTAGGTGACACATATTTTAAACTTGGGAAAAGAAATAAGCTCAAACCATTGTTTTTCTCATATACATGCTAATTTTTTACAACTGAAAACTTTGAAAAATCTTATTTTACCAAAAATATGGCACAAAGATATTTGGATTGTCTGTATTTCTGGAGGTGATTATTTTTTTTTCATATAACTGCAGCATGAGTTCTGTCACTCATTTTTGTGCCTAAAACCCAGAGAGAAGCAGGAATTGAATCCTTTTATATGAAAAATAGTTTTACCTACATCTGTTGTCATTGTTGACAGCTCAATTTGGTATTTAAATCTTAGGAGCTATGTTTCAGCTCTTAAAAACTTTAAAGATATGGAGGCAGACAACCTGTATGATTCTATTTCTTTAGCTTTTAGATACTGTTTTCTTTTGCCTTCCAGTCTGTTTCCAGCTTAGTGAAACTTGTGGGTGGCAGTGCCTAATGTCATACAGTAAGGTAGCAACATAAAGTCACCAAATTTTTTTGCAGTCTTTTTGTTGCAGTCTACATACTGTCAGGTGGGCACTCAGGGCAGCATTCTTTTGAAGTTACTGATTTGTCCTTAAAAATCATAGAATCAGCTGGGTTGGAAGGGACCTCCGAGATCATCAAGTCCTACCCTTGATCCAACCCTGCCGTGGTTCCCAGCCCATGGCACTGATGCCACATCCAGTCTTATCTTAAAAACCTTCAGGGACGGAGAATCCACCACTCTCCTGGGCAGCCCATTCCAATGCCTGATCACCCTCTCTGGAAAGAAATTCTTCCTAATATCCAACCTAAACCTCCCCTGGCACAGCTTAAGACCGAGCCCTCTTGTCTTGCTGATCATTGCCTGGGAAAAGAGACCAACCCCCACCTGGCTCCCCCCTCCTGTCAGGGAGTTGTAGAGAGTGAGGAGGTCTCCCCTGAGCCTCCTCTTCTCCAGGCTGAACAACCCCAGCTCCCTCAGCCTCTCCTCACAGCACTTGTGCTCCAGTCCCTTCCCCAGCCTTGTTGCCCTTCTCTGGACCTGCTCCAGGACCTCCATGTCCTTCCTGAACTGAGGGGCCCAGAACTGGACACAGCACTCCAAGTGTGGCCTCACCAGTGCTGAGTCCAGGGCAAGAATCACTTCCTTGGACCTGTTGGCCACACTGTTCCTGAGCCAGGCCAGGATCCATTGGCCTTCTTGGCCACCTGGGCACACTGCTGGTTCCTGTTCAGCTTCCTGTCAATCCAAACTCCCAGGTCCCTTCCTGCCTGGCTGCTCTCCAGCCACTCTGTCCCCAGCCTGTGGCGCTGCAGGGGGTGGTTGTGGCCAAAGTGCAGGACCCGACACTTGGCCTGGTTGAACCTCATCCCGTTGGAATCAGCCCAACTCTGCAACTTATCCAGGTCCCTCTGCAGAGCCCTCCTGCCTTCCAGCTGATCCACACTCCCCCCCAGCTTAGTGTCATCTGCAAATTTGCTGCTGGTGGATTCAATCCCCTCATCTAAATCATCAGTAAAGACATTAAATAGAACTGGGCCCAACACTGATCCCTGGGGGACACCACTAGTGACCGGCCGCCAACTGGATGCAGCAATGGTAAGAAACATCTCTTTTGAAAGGCATAGTAGATACATATGGGGTAAGAAGCTTAAATGTCTATCAGTGAGGTGAAGCATTATGCAAGAAGGTTAGACAGTTGGTTATTGGGTGTGGAGGAATGAATTTGTGTGATGCCAGAGAAAGACTCTCCAAATACTTAATGGGTAATTTGTATTAATGAGGTGTGGCTTTTGCATCCAGTCAAGGTCATTGTCTTCTCGAGGCTAAAAACTGTGAAAGCGTGGAGCAAAGGGATAACCCACGACCCAAAGAGCTCACAGGTTAAATCTCTCAGCAGAAATGGAGTCCATGGACAGCTTATAAACACAGCATGACACAAAGGTGATGCAGTGGCTCACAGAACCATGGATTTTACCAGCTCTCCTCAACGTGTGTGTACTGAAATCACAGGGTTTTCCTCTCAAGGTTTGAAGTTGGCAAGTTTGAAGTCTCTCAACTCTGACTTTGTCCCCTTACAAGTTTTGTACGGCACTCAAAGGCAGAAGTAAAGTAGGGGTAGGGGATATTAAAAGGAGATTTGGAGTTTAATACTAGTTAAAATATTCATTAATGTTTGGGGCAAAGCCTCTGTGTGTTTGATATTTTTTCAGCTGATCATATAAAAGAGAAGTCAGGGCTGTGTCTGTACAAACAGGGAACTAAATGCCTTTCAGTTGGTACAACAAAAATAAGATTAACTTAATTATGCAAGGAAACGTACTTTGGACCCTAATATCACAAGATGTACTGCATAAATTCATGTCCTGAGGGACAAGAACTTCTGCAGTTCATCATTTGGAAGTTACAGAACAGAAAAAAATAAAAGAAAAAAACCAGCCTGGGTGTATTTTTAGTTTGCTGTGGCTGTGACGCACATAGGTGCCACTGCCAAGAGAAAACCAGTGCCGTTGTCATGTACCAGGCATGGTTTTATCTGGAATAATCAAAGAAATCCTATAAAAGGCATGGATATGCTTTCATTTAGAGTACTGTAAGCAGTCACCTTAAAAAACCATATATACATATCTATATAGATAGATATATAGATCTCTAGATATCACTTTATTGGACTAGATAAAGAAAAGAACTACTAGTCTGATTACAGGAAGGACAGTATCTCTGTTAAAGACATTTCAAATAGCTTTTCTAGGCTTGTTTAGGTTAACAAAATTAAAGGTGAGGAACCATAAGAATATCTTTTGGTTGCATCAGTGGAGAAAATACCAAGATAAGGCAATAAGTATTTGATTTAAAATAGTGGTGCAGAAATACATTGGTATAGAGTGGTCATGAATAAATTTAAACTTGATATTGGTAAAAAGTTTCACACTGCCCATAATGTCTTAAAAAAAAAATAAATAATAAGGGTAGTCACAAGTCCTGCACAGACATTACAGTTGATGTTTTTAATTGCTCCTGCTGGCTGGAATGTTCATTTTTCTCACCCCCTTTTCCTTTGCCTTTAGCAGAGCTGATAGCCCGAGGACACAGAGTTTCACAGCAGAGTTTAGCTGCATTTGAAAATTATGTGCCAAGTTCCATTCAGGAGAAACCGAAAGAATTAAAGATCACCTGTAATTACTTGTGTTTTATTCATCTCAGGAGATTCTGTACGGCGAAGCAATGCACAAACAGCCCGTTTGTACAGATCCAGCTGTTTCTCCCAAATATAGTGATTTATTTAATTGCTAGCATCTAGATGTTTTTTTCTTTAGCATCCTTGATGTTGTCCCTATCTTTGATAGGCATTTATATACCAATCTGGTTGTAATTACATGTATTTAGCTGGTGGCCTGTGTTCTAGTGAAATGGGAAGACATAAAAGAGCACTGGGACTCTCCTACTTATTCAAAATGCTTTGGGTGTATATTTTTCAGGAGAGCCCAACCACTCTGTTCATCATGGATTTACCTCCCTTTGACAGCAACAGCACAGCTTGCCAGGCAAAACAACCTTCAAAGGAGCTTGGGACAAGGAGAAATCAGGAGCATCTGACTGGTCTGGGAAAACACCGCAGGGATCTCGTGAGTAATGTACTTTTTGCAGGAAAAAGTGAACTGGCCATAGTAAGTGCAGTTCAATTCTTCAACTTTGGCACCATTTCCCCACTCCAGGGCCCAGCTCTGAGCCCCACAGTGACATCACTGAGCAGAACTGCGGATGTTTTTCAGGCCATTTTATTTTCACTTTAGAAGTAAGAGTTTGATTCGTTCGCAGGGAATGGAAATACCACAATTATACAATTACCTAGTGATTTAAAAATTAAGCTTTTCAAACGCGAAGGCATTATACCAATGACATGCATTTAATCCCACATGGAAAGAGGCCTTCCCAGAGGCTTTTTAAGCCACATTAGCACTGCTCACTGGAGCATGTGCTTTGCTTTATGACAGGGCCACACCTCCCATTCAGGAGAAGACTCTAGTTGCCCATGAGTTGTTGTAACCAGCACCATTTAGAAATGAAACGATGTGCTTAAGTGGTGCAGAGGCTGATCAGCCACCAAAGTTGAACTTTGGACTTATTTTTCTACAAACATCTGTCCTAGTTAGAACAGCTGGGACCAGTTCATCACTGGATGGGTGTAACCCAAAACTGTGTATTCCATAGCCTTCCATGCCATTTCCCAGAAACCGTTATCAATGAACCATTTACACCATCTGCCCATAAAGCCTGACTCCTCAGGCTATAAACTGGGTGTTCAGAGGCCTGTGAGATAGGAGGATGCTCCTGTGCTCACACCCAGTGTGGAACTCCCCGCCCTGAGGGAGGTACTGGACATTCCTGCCTGAACTGGAGAATATATAATCTTGGAGTCTTGGGACTTTTTTAATCACTTGTGGGATCCAGAGGAAGACTGCAGACCACCACTCTTGACCAGACTGCACCAGCACTCTCACCAACAGGTTTTTTTCCCCTCTCCCTTTACTTTGGACTCAGGGGGCCCAACCAACACCACTCTGTTCGTGCCCCAGGGTGCTGGGTTATACATTTGGGTTTTGTGGGCTAAAACCAACTGTTTGTCCGTAGAATCGCATTTCTTGTATTATTTTATTAAATTGTTATTCTGACTTAAAATCTCTCCTTTGAGTTCGGTTCACTTCCCCAGCTGGTTTGCCTTTAAACTGGCACAACATCTTAGAATAATCAGTCAGTGACCGTGCAGAGCACAGTGTGATGGTGAACTCTGAACGCTGCACAGACTTGTCTCTTCTTCATTCTACAGTCATAGTTGGGTCATTATTCACACGTGGAAATGGGTGTAATTTAAATGCTGAACCTGAAAAAAAAAAAACACTTTTGAAAATAGTAATAACTCCTCTATTTCCTCTAAATACCATAGATCTGGCGGTAGACTTATTAAGTATGATGGTATTAAATACCATCTTAATATTATCTTATCATAATCATTTTTATTAATATTGATATTATTATCGGTGTTGCAATCTTATAATTACTTTATTATTGTTATAGAAGTGCAATTGTTATTATTGTTATGAGTGTTGATATTATCTTTACTTTTTTTCTGGCGTTCTTACATGTTTCATATTTGAGGCCTTATGAAATTTCCTTTTACTGAAATTTCCAGAAATTTCATTTCTTTTCATTTCCTGAAATTTCATTTCCTGAAATTTCATTTCAGGAAAGGAAAGGAAATTTCAGGAAAAGAAATAAAAAAGGAAAAAAAAAAAAGGAAACTTCAGGAAAGGAAATTTCAAGGAAAAAAGAAGAAAAAGGAAATGAAAAAGGAAATGAAAAAGGAAATTTCAGGAAAGGAAATGAAATTTCAGGAATGAAAATTTCAGGAAATTTCAGGAAAGGAAATTAAAAAGGAAAGGAAAAAGGAAATTTCAGGAAAGGAAATTTCAGTAAAGGAAAGGAAATGAAATTTCAGAAAAATTTCTGGAAATTTCTGGAAAGTTCTAGGAATTTCTAGAAAGTTCTGGCATTTTCAGAAAGGAAATAAAATTTCAGAAAAAGAAAATTTCTGGAAAGTTCTGGAAAGTCCTGGAATTTTCAGAAAGAAAACATTTCAGAAAAGGAAATTTCTGGAAATTTCCAGAAAGTTCTGGAATTTTCTGGAAAGTTCTGGAATTTTCAGAAAGTAAATAAAATTTCAGAAAAGGAAAATTCTGGAAATTTCTGGAAATTTCTGGAAAATTCTGGAAAATTCTGGAATTGTCTGGAAAGTTCTGGAATTTTCCAAAAGAAAATCAAAGCTCAGACGAGGAAATTTCTGAAAATTTCTGGAAATTTCCAGAAAGTTCTGGAATGTTCTGGAATTTTCCAAAAAGAAATAAAATTTCAGACAAAGAAATTTCTTTAAAGTTCTGGAAATTTCTGGAAATTTCCAGAAACTTCTGGAATTTTCTGGAAAGTTCTGGAATAATAAAATTTTGGAAAACGAAATTTTCGGGAAAGTTCTGGAAAGTTCTGGAATGTTCTGGAAAAAATAAAATTTTAGAAAAGGAAATTTTTGGGAAAGTTCTGGAATGTTCTGGAATTTTCCAAAAGGAAATAAAAGGTCAGATAAGGAAATTTCTGGAAATTTCTGAAATTTTCTGGAAATTTCTGGAAAGTTCTGGAATTTCCTGGAAAGTTCTGGAATTTTCCAAAAAGAAAATAAAAGTTCAGACAAGGAAATTTCTGGAAAGTTCTGGAAATTTCCGGAAAGTTCTAGAAATTTCCAGAAAGTTCTGGAATGTTCTGGAGCTTTCCAAATAGAAATAAAAGTTCAGACAAGGAAATTTCTGGAAAGTTCTAGAAATTTCCTGGAAAGTTCTCGAATTTTCTGGAAAGTTCTGGAAAAAAAATAAAATATTAGAAATTGAAATTTCTGAAAAGTTCTGGAAAGTTCTGGAATTTTCCAAATAGAAATAAAAGTTCAGACAAGGAAATTTCCGGAAATTTCCAGAAATATCTGGAAATTTCTGGAAAGTTCTTGAAAGAATAAAATTTTAGAAAATGAAAGTTCTGGAAAGTTCTAGAAAGTTCTGGACATTCTGGAACGTTCTGGAAAGTTCTGGACTTTTCCAAAAGGAAAAAAAAGTTCAGACAAGGAAATTTCTGGAAAGTTCTGGAATTTTCTAGAAAGTTCTGGAATTTTCAGAAAGTAGATAAAATTTCAGAAAAGTTCTGAAAAGTTCTGGAACTTTTCAAAAGGAAATAAAAGTTCAGACAAGGAAAGTTCTGGAATTTTCAAAAAGGAAATAAAATTTCAGACAAGGAAATATCTGGAAAGTTCTGGAATGTTCTGGAAAGTTCTGGAATTTTCCAAAAGGAAATAAAAGTTCAGACAAGGAAAGTTCTGGAGTTTTCCAAAAGGAAATAAAATTTCAGACAAGGAAATATCTGGAAAGTTCTGGAATGTTCTGGAAAGTTCTGGAATTTTCCAAAAGGAAATAAAAGTTCAGACAAGGAAATTTCTGGAAAGTTCTGGAATTTTCAAAAAGGAAATAAAATTTCAGACAAGGAAATATCTGGAAAGTTCTGGAATGTTCTGGAAAGTTCTGGAATTTTCCAAAAGGAAATCAAAGTTCAGACAAGGAAATTTCTGGAAAGTTCTGAAACTTTCCAAAAGGAAATCAAAGTTCAGACAAGGAAATTACTGGAAAGTTCTGGAATTTTCTGGAAAGTTCTGGAATTTTCTGGAAAGTTCTGGAACTTTCCAAAAGTAAATAAAAGTTCAGACAAGGAAATTTCTGGAAAGTTCTGGAAAGTTCTGGAAAGTTCTGGAACTTTCCAAAAGGAAATCAAAGTTCAGATAAGGAAAGTTCTGGAATTTTCTGGAAAGTTCTGGAAATTTCCAGAAAGTTCTGGAATTTTCTGGAAAGGAAATAAAATTTTAGAAATTGAAATCTCTGGAAAGTTCTGGAAAGTTCTGGAATGTTCTGGAAAGTTCTGGAATTTTCCAAAAGGAAATCAAAGTTCAGACAAGGAAATTTCTGGAAATTTCCGGAAAGTTCTGGAAAAAATAAAATTTCAGACAAGGAAAATTATGGAAATATCTGGAAATTTCCAGAAAGTTCCGGAATGTTCTGGAATGTTCTGGAAAGTTCTGGAATTTTCCCAAAAGAAATAAAAGTTCAGACAAGGAAATTTCTTGAAAATTCTGGAAAATTCTGGAAATTTCTGGAAAGTTCTGGGTAAAATTTAGAAAAGGAAATTTCTGGACAGTTCTAGAAGGTTCCAGAAAGTTCTGGAATGTTCTGGAAAGTTCTGGAGTTTTTGCAAAAAGGAAATAAAAGTTCAGACAAGGAAATTTCTGGAATTTTCTGGAAAGTTCCGTGAAGTTCTGGAATGTTCTGGAAAGTTCTGGAGTTTTCCAAAAGGAAATCAAAGTTCAGACAAGGAAATTTCTGGAAACTTCTGGAAACAAAATTAAAAAAGGAAATTTCTGGAAAGTTCTAGAAAGTTCCAGAAAGTTCTGGAATGTTCTGGAAAGTTCTGGTATTTTCCAAAAGGAAATAAAATTTCAGAAAAGGAAAGTTCTGGGAGTTTCTGGAAAGTTCTGGGAAATGCTGGAAAAAGGAAAAGAAGAAGGGAAAGGAAAGGGGAAAGGAAAGGGGAAAGGGAAAGGAAAAGCACCCCAGTCCACTCTCCCCTTGCACTCCAAGTCAACATCTCCTCTTGCTCCATCACCTGCTCCTGAGATACTGGAAAGCCACCTTACTGTGGCAATTTTTGTACCATGTTCTGATCCATTTTGCTCCATTCGACTATGAAAACCTCTCTCAGAACAGCCACACAACCTAAGCTTTTACAGCTTACTACTCACCAGAATTTTCCTGTAGCTGTCTTATATCTTCTCTCCCCCTGATTTGTTTTAATCATTAAATAGAAGTGATATTTTCTTTGGAGCAGGGGATATTTTTCTCCTCTCTGTGAGACAAGGCTGTGAAGAGAGTTAATATCTTTTATTAAAGAAACTGATAAAGTTAGAACAAAAAAAAAAAAGTTGACCTTTCAGGCATACAAGCTGGCAGCAGCAACAGTTTTATTGCATGTGCTTTCATGGAGAAGGCCTAAAACTAAAGAAGAGCCTCTGGAAAATACTATAAAAATGGGCAGGAATATAAACTGTATGTAATTCAAATAACATTTCTCATATCTAGGCTGCCACTCAAGAGTCTCTTTAGACTGGATCTTTTTATGGCAAAGAAACCTACTCAGCACTGATTATCACCTCAGAATAGCCAGAAATTCACTGCAAAACATAATCTTAGTATAAAAATAACATTTCTCCCCTACTATCTCAGTAGAAATTCTCAGTGACTTTACAATTTCATTTATATATGTGTGTGCATATATGTTATGGTTTAGAAGTGTCCCTTTTCTTTGTGATGCTCTGGTGTGCCATGGTAAGCTAAGAAATCTTACCAAACAGTGGATTAAAAGAGTCCCAAGTCTAAGTTAAATTGGGATTTTTCTGATTATTCTGTAGGAGTTTAGCACATTAGGATATGGTACCTAAAAGGACAAGTTCTCTCCTCGAAGAAAAGCCAAAGCATTCTCAAAATAAGTAAGAAAAAAAAAGGAACTTAAAAATCCCAATGAACTGCAACATTATGTACTCCAACAGCACTAAAGCAATAATCCACCTTCCTGCAGTGATTGCTGCAGCGATGACAGAGGCTGGAACTGAGAAGAAGGCAGAGGGGAAGAACAGGTGGAAACAGGAGAGATTCTAGTTGGCCCTTTTTGCAGCACAGTCCTCAAAATGCCATTGCTACTTTCCCTGATGCTTTTATGCTTGCAAATGTCAACTCGAAAACCAGACCAATCAGCCAACAGACAAAGGCCTGGCTGGAATCTTCCTCTTTCAGTGCTCCTCTTGTTTCAAAGCCCGGTGCATTTTGGCCTGTTTGATGCTTCATCCAAAGATCAGACAAGATCTTTGCTTGTCTGAGCAGGCAAGAGCAAGGAAAAGAAGAATGGCTGAGCCATAACAGCTACTGAAAAAGGGAGAAAGTGGGATAAAGCTGTGTATGATTTGAAGATTTTAAAGCTGCCCTGGCGTAATAAAACTTAGAGATCATCTCTTGTTTATGACAAGCTATGCGATGTCAAGTACTAGCACTAAAACTTTCAAAATGAGCTCCACGTGCTTACCATTTATAATCACTCACCTGAAGAGCACTCCAGCTTTCCACTGAGCTGAAAGAAGGAGCTTTGGTCCCTCCCTCTGTAAGCACTGATGTTTTCACTGCTCTTTCTGGTGCTGTTAATAATGCATTGCTAGGAGCTGTCCCATTGCTCTGGTTATTGGCCAGACAGTGAGCACCCACTCCTGACAACTGCTGTGGATTTGGACCTACCTTGGCATGGAGAGTGTGCTGGGCAAAGGACTTGACTGCTCTCACAAGGGCTCTTTGTTGACATGGAATGAAAGACATAACTTATAAAGTTAAGTATACAAATGGCAAAAGGAAAAATGGAAAAAAAATATCCAGGCAATGTATTTATTTACAGAGTATTGCAGATCAACTGAGGGAGCAGGAGGAATGCTCGGTTTATAAAACAGCACTTCACATTCCTCTCATGCTGTGTTGCTTTCAGTCTCAGCCCCCTTCTCTTCCAAGCCTCCTCTTTCCTTTGGATTTGTATTGTGTGCTACATTCAGCCTTCTTTTACCTGAAAATAATTTAAAATTGAACATTACAGCAAGAGGGTTTTTTCCTGCCCCTTACATCCATTACAGCTGTTCCAGCCCACATTAGCACGAACCATGAAAGCCAAAAATGGTTGAATAGGCCCAGAGCAGACCCCACAGGGATTAAGGTTGTGTCCTTAGATTCTGCTCAGGGGAGAAGACCTGTGCTAGCTCTCAACTATTTTTTATTAGGAGCTTTTTTGTTTTCACCAGCTAATACCAGGCAGAGCTTTCATCATTGGGCTTTGCTTTCTTTCAGTTTATGTAGGACATTGGCTTGGCTGCACGACATCGTGGGGCTGGACGACAAATTACTGATTGCTTCTTTGCACCCTTTGCCTTGAGCTACAAGTAATGAAAGCAATTAAAAATTATGAACCCAGAGAATTTCTAGAATAAATCCAATACTTGTACAACTACTACACACAGCTTCCCAAGAGACAAGGGGTTTATGATATAGCACCATCAAATATGCTTGGCTTTATGAATTTGCAATACAAGGAGCCCTTAAGATGGGAGCAAACCTCAGGACTTACTCATCCTCTTTGCTCTGTTTTAAAGTCTTCATGGAGCTGATATTTTTGTTTATTAGAAGCTATGCAATGTCAAGTACTAGTACTAAAATTTTCAAAATGTGGTCCACGTGCTTACCATTTATAATCACTCACCTGAAGAGCACTCCAGCTTTCCACTGAGCTGAAAGAAGGATCTTTGGTCCCTCCCTCTGTAAGCACTGATGTTTTCATTGATCTTTCTGGTGCTGTTTTTTCAGGCACAAGCCTCCTTCCAGCCTGCTAGTCCCATTACCAATACTGCACCTAGGTCTGCTTCCAGGAAATCAGCTCCATAGGGAATATTCTAATGCATGCTTTCTGTGGTGATTTATTCTCCAAGATGGCTCAGGTTTCAGATCAATTCCCAGGCCATGACAAATGCTTTCCAGAGTTCAGATGCTTGGTAACTTGACCTTGGAAAGGTTGTTCTCTTCCATCATTAGTAGCATCACTTGTGGGCTGCCAGAGCCATGTGTTTTATTTTTCCTGGATGCCTGAATGCACATTAGGCATTGCCTGTTTTAGAAGGAGGAGAAACAAGAAAGCCATGGCCACATTTAGTCGATGAGGATGCTGAAGTTCACCAAAATCAAAAGAAACACCTTTATTAACCTTGACAGGATACAGATCACACCCAGACTGATCAACGGATTAAGTCACAATAGAAATAGGTCACACTAGAAATATTTGCTCAGGATCATGCCTGAAATCAGATTTCTCAATTCCCAATGTGTTACTTAGTACAAGCCCTCTTCCAACACTCACTTGAACTCTGATCACCCCAGTTTGGCTTCCCAATTTGTACAAGGTAAGAAATGACTGTCTCAACAAGAGGGGCACCTGCTCAGGGGTATTCAGAGTCCCAATGAAAAGCAGCCAGTGCAACAAGATCTGAATAAGCTGTAGAATTTGGGAGCACAGTTATAAAATTACTTGGATTTTCTTTTTTTTTTTTTTTGATTGTTAGGATAAAAGATTTTGTCACTCCAATCACGGTAACCAGAGGAGAAATTTTTAAGCTCATTTAGATCTTGATTGCTTCTGCTAAATAGCACATGAGTGATAACAATGTAGAACTTCTGCTGTGCTATGACCAAGGATCAGCAGGAAAAAAAGAAGAAGTAAAAAAAAGATCAGTCAACACTGAAATGATTCAATGACACTGAAAAGATAAGTGGCACATGCTTATTTTTGTCTTAGAAAGACACTATAGATGAAAATGATAACCATTTAAACTGCAATAACACCAAGAACAGGAGTGAGTAACACCCACAGAGATAAGTGTCTGCAGCAATCTCCCCCAATTATAGGCCAGCTGCTCTGTTCAGCACATCTCCACAGAAGACTAAACCATAGGCTGGGAAGGAGAAGTAAGAAATCAGAGTTTAAATGTCCAGAGTGCTTTGCTAACCAGTCACACCAGCCTGACTTTTGAAACAGTCTTTGAGGACTTGGAAAATCAGAGTCTCCTGCAGCACAGATGGTTTGGGGGGGTTAATGTTTTGTTTCAAAGTGGTGTGTGTGAGCCACAGATTTGGGGGGCTGACGGTTTATGTGTGTTTAGAAATATCAGTAAATCACAAAAATAGTAACAGAAGTTGAGACAGAGCAGAGGAGCTCTGATAAGACACTTGGGGCAAAGACTGAACTGAGAGCTGTCCTAGATCTTCCAATCCAGGAGGAGTGAAGGTCTCCAAGGAAATTCCCCAAAGGCTCGGGAATTGGAATTTCCACAAAGTAAGAACAGAAAATCCTGACTGCAATGCTTAAATCTGCTGCCTTAAAAAATGAAAGACACTAACTAATACCACAGAAAATGAAATGAAGGAACTGTGACCTGAGGAATGACAGAAGGACTTTTCTCTTTTTTTCTTGAACTCTTATTGAAGAAAAAGAGACATTTAATCTAATGTAAATATATTATTTCATCGTAGAAGAGATAACTAAGTTGTTATCTATATATATATATATGTATGTAAATAAACCTTTGTAAGTATTTTCCCCTTCCCCCAATGCTGAGTAGTTGTGTTTTGTCTGAAAACCCTCTCACACTGGGGCAAATTGTGGGAGGGGGGCTTAAACTTGGAAATTGGATTTCTGAGGGTTTCAAACCACCACAGAAGTTCAAACTGAACACAGCCACAGAGCAACTTTGGAACAACAGAGAAACTTTTCTTCTTAACACCATGTACTTTGCTCACCAAGGAAAGCCCCATCCACAGGAGTTAGCACTGTTTTCTAAAACTGACACCAGGACAGTCACACTTACAGTGCCAGTTGGTTCATCTGAAGGGTTCTGTGCAGCTCCTCTCAAGATATTGTTCCATTTATGGCATTTTACAGTTGGTGATGGCCACTGAATAGTTCAAACCTATAAGGAAAAGGTATAGGCCATCCAGTCAGACAGAGAATTTGCATTTCCTAAATGACTAGAGATGGTGGCATCCCCCTAGACCTGGGTATTAGTGATTAAAACACTGATTAACAAACACAGGGGGCACTTACAGAATTCCCTTGGCTGAGCTGGAGTCTGTGGGGTTGTTTGAACACCTTCCTCCAGCTCCCCACCACATGTGCTTCCCCTGCAACCCAACAGGAATGTGGGGTGGAAAGGAGGGCAGGAAACCCTCCTAAAGGGAACCCACTGGCAAGACGGGGTACAAGATAATCGCAGGCATCATTCCCACTGTAAGTCAATCCCAATTTCCCAGGCTCTCATGGGAACAGCAGTGAAAATTACTTCAGAAAAATAAAGTGTCACATAATACCTGTCTATTAATTTCAGCTTAAACAGTTGTGTCACATTTAGAAATATCTCCAGTTTCTGATACAGTAAGTAATATCATTCACTAGCACTTGTCTGCTATGTGCTTGTACACTTCAAGAATCTCATTTAACTTCAGTCCTTGCGTTTCAGCTAGACTTTATTTAATCACTGTATTTATAAAATACACTATATTCCTGCAGAAAATAGATCCCTTTTTATTTTTTCTTTTCTTTTTTCTGACCATACAATCTGTCTTCATTCCCACTCAGTCTCTCAGGGGAAAATTTGTATGGGATTACAGATTTCACCCTGGTTGCCATCACAGCATATTGGGCAGTTTTCTACCATCAGTTATCCTTGCTGACCAGCTTATACTGTGTTTCTGGCACAAGGCAACTACTGTGCCCTTCCAGGAATTTCTCAGGCTGGGACAGTTCAGCAGAGCATGTATCTCCCAAATGCAAGCTCTATTTTCTACTTGAGAATCCCAAAAGCCACCGTGACAATTTAAATCAGTCCCGGGAGTTTTAACCATGGAGTTTTTTCCTTACTGTGTGGACAGATATAAGTATTCCAGCCACAGAAAATGCACTAGGTTTGATTTCAGCTCTGTTTTCAGAGTGATGAACAACGTTGGATAAACAAGTCCTCAAAATGTTGGATGGGAGAGTGCCATGAACACAACACCCCACAAACTGGAGACATTTCAAGAGTGTTCACTGCTCTTGGTTCCCCTGGAGTGAATCAGCAAGAGTAAAGCACAGTAAGGAAATAAAGTGAAAGCAAAGTGCACTTCTAACTCCATTTTGAGACAATTTTGCCTGGCTGAACCTCTCTGACTATGCTGGATTTCCACCACAGATCAGTGCTTTGTCATTTTGTCGCCGTTTGAAACGTTGTCATTTTATATTATACGATAGTCACAAAGAAAGTACCTGATGTGTCCAAATGATGAACCACCACCACCTCCTGCCAAAAAAAAAAAAATAAAGTGACAACACTTATTTTCTGCTGGATAAACCTCTTCATTTCTGTATTACAGAAGACTTCTTTCATAGCTGAAAAATGGCATGTTAGAAGCCCCAAGAACATTTGCAGTCTTGAAATGCTCCCCTTTCTGTGCTCTCCCATGCCCAAACAGGTTTAAAAATCTGATGGAAGCAGAAACTGCTGCGAGTTTTAATGTCTATATTTTTTCCAGCGTTGCTTCCAAGTCATTCATGGCTATTTAGCACTTACCTCAAAGAACTGTGCAAAGGGCACCATCTGCAAAAACGGTACAGATTATACAGACTGTGCAAACAAACAGGTGTTTGTCTCATCATCCCACTGAACATTTGAGAGATGTCTGGAATAACAGCAGTCCATCATCTGTGGGAAAAAAATACACCACACTGCAAGCAGGATTTGTCCCAGGGCCACTTTAAAGTGAGGAAAGGGGAATGTGTGCTCCAAGAGCAGGCAAAGAATAACATTTTACCCCAGAGCATAAGACCTTAAAAGCATACCAGTGGGTCAGATTGAAATAAATAAATAAAACCCCTGAAGTATTTAAATGTTCATTACCATCAGTGCAAACTAAGGTGAAACACTTCAAAAGTTGACAGTTGCCAAGGGATTTTACAGGCTCTACTGCAGGATTTTATTTCATCCAAACTTTTTTTTTTTTTAATCATTATTACCTGAATATGCAACGGGTTTTTTTAAAATTGGGGTAAAATGCTTTTGTTTGCTTGCCAGGCACTTATAAATCACCTTACACCAGACAACTAGAGTTTTGTTACAGGAATTGCAGGTTGGTTTTGCCTTCTGTCCTAGAGGTTTCAAGTTCAGATTTTAGGGTCATTTTGTGAATGGCCCCTTCCAGCTGGAACTGCTGAGTATAAGGACCGGTTATCTTGACTTTCTCTATAAAATTAAGTGTAGGTAAATTAGATCAGCTACAAGAAAATCACTTAAATTAAAGGGATCACTTTAAATTAAGATTAAGAAAATCACTTAAATTAAGAAAATAACTTAAATTAAAAAAAAAAAGCAAACCACTTAGCAAAATTGTGAGCATTTCCTTATCATAATATACATTTTGGTTCCAAAAAAAAAAAAAAAAAAAATCCAAGGAGATCTACTCTTCAGAGTAGAGCATTTGCCCAACTTGTAATTCCCTCAAAGTGGTCTTATATTTTTTTTTTCCATTTCTCCCCTGCGAAGGGGAACATCCTGCTAGTTTTAAAAAGGTGAATGTAGCATTTCACCCCTTAGCAGACTAACAAGGTGACAGGCTACACTTGCAATCCCAGACATTTCCATGTAGCTTCCCCTGGAGGTGGTTGGTGATCTGCCACTTCACCGACGGGGAGATTTTCCTCTTTTAAAGGTCTTCAGCATCTAATCTGCAAAGGGACTGCAAAAATAAATGAAACCAGTTCAAAAGTTGCATAAAGAAGCTCAATAAATTGGGCTGTGGCGAGTTCTGTGCAGTGATGTTACACGCAATGCTGGTTACAAACAACGCAGTGTGCCCTCAGAGACAATAAAACTGAGGGGGGATCGCGACTGAGTTCATGTTTCAGGAGCTCATCTCTGTATCACAGTAAATTCCTCAGCAAAAAGGAGAAGCAGTGCCATTGTCAGATCCAGCGTGGTGATGCTCTGGCGAGCAGCTTTTGAGACAGGACAATTTTCTGCGCTGATTTTAGAGACTTATTGCCACGATGGGCATTTAACACCGGCAAAGTGTTCTTTGTCCTGCTTTTATGTCCCCATCAATCGGAGTGATACAGCATCGCCCCTCTTAATGGGCAACCATTAAAGGGGTTCGTACCCATCAAGGTAGTTTTATTTGATTTAACAGCTGTTTGATAAAGACCTCGGTTTTATCGCGCACTGTTGGACTGTGCTGCATCCAGCCACCACAGACAGGTTGTGAGGGAAGATGAAAGCAAGCTCCTGAGCAAAGCTCTGCTTTGATTTCCACCAAAGAGCTTGTTGTGAAAAACAATTTTGTGTTTCTGAACGGAACTCACGGTTTTAAGCCAAGTATTTTGCTTTTTGACAACCACTGCTAGGTAGCGACAGCAGAATTTCTAATTTCCCATGCTGCCAAGCAAACAGGGTTTGTTTAACATCTGATATTTCTTTAGCTCAACTTCCAAAAGTCATTTCTTTAAGAGGTATTAAATCAAGACTTTTTTTTTTTTTTTTTACCCAGCATTATTATCACCACAGCTTTCACTACAGTTAACAAAAGGCCTTCTGCAGCTTTGTGGAGCCTTTCAACATTAGCAATTAAGGGACATACATTTTTTTTTAAAAAAAGATGGTTTCATATGTACAGCACTGGTGAAACAGGCAATATTTTTCCCATTTCCAGTTCATTCAGCTGAAGAATCAAAAAACCTAAAAAAAACTCCCCAAAAAACCCAAACAAAAAACCAACTTACTGGACTTCAGTAAGGAAACAAAATCATTTCTCCCTTCAATCCCAGTTCTGAATTCATTTAACTGCTGTCTATATTAATTGGAAATTTTATGCTGCTTTAGAGGAAATAAAAATACGAAAAAAAAAATCAAGTAACAACTTTTAACTTGCATTCTCTTTAAAGTGTGGGAGATTTTTATGCCTGTTCAGGAGAGCAGAAAGATGAGGACCCTTTCAGGACTCCATTAGAGCATCTTCAAGTATTATCTTTACAACTGACAATTATTTTTTAGTAATATTTATTAAATCAAATCTTAACCCAACTAAAAACATGTCTTCCTGATATGCACAGACTACTTCTTTGCTAAGGAAACGTACAGCAAGGTAATCCAAATAAAGCCTGGCAGAACACCAGATATAAATATTTCCAAACAAAACAACAAAACCCCCAAATAAATAACCCTCAAACATCTCACAAACCCTTTAAAATTGGGACTCTGCACTGTATCACTCACTGGACATTTCTGAACGAGGTCACAAGTTCCCAAATTATTATGGAATCAACCACCCTCGGTGCAGCCTCCAAACCACTCTCTGCAGTTCATAAACAACACAAAAGAATAATTGAGGTGTCTCTGAGGCTTATCCTTAAAGAACAGACAGTCTTATCATTTTGGGGAGCCTGCACACTGTGAGCACTGCTCACAACAGTCAGGTGAAGGGTTACTGATATATTGCCACGAGTTTTGTTTGTGGAACCAGGGGATAAGAGAGGTGAAAAGAAGTGGCTGCATAACTCTGCTTGGGTGGAGAGTTCTCGTGAAACCTCAGCTTCTCCACTGGAAAAAATTGCTGAAACTAATACACTTATTTACGTGACTGTAGTCCAAACAGAGTCAAAGGGCACACACACACAGAGAAATTGAAGTTGCAAATATATTTCTGCATAATCTTTTTTTGCAGCAGCACCAACCAGAGAACTCAGAAATCTCCTCCTAGGGAAGTACCCAGGAAAGCCATAGTATGACTAGCTGTGAGGGGTTTTTTAATGGAACTTTAACAAGTTATCAGCAATTTACTTTTCCCTCCAGCAGAAAGTATAAATAAGGTTTTTCCCTCTAAAAAGGTTTCCATATATGTAAAATAGTGACCTAAATGTAAGCAGATTCATGACTTTCTAAAGGTTGAATGAATTACCACGCTTTGTCTCTGCATTTTTCATTTTGAAAATTAAAAAGATATTTTGTAGTTAACACTATCTGCACGCCTGGGAAGACTTCTGTACAGAACAACTCGCTGTGCAGCAGCCAAATTTGAGAGATCTGTGATGAATTTTAGACAGTTCTCCCATAACTGAGATTCTTTTGCATTCACATTACAAATATTGTGTCACTTCAGATGCCACCAGACAGAACTGATTGCACTGGAGCAGGAAGAAACAAGAAATTCAGTTGCAATGTCTTTGGGGATTTTTTGGGGGGTACTTAAATAGTATACCAAGTTTAGTGTGCTGGGCTACAAGTGTTTTTAGTATCTGAAACTCATACTAATTTATGTGTTCATTTACACTTTCTAAAAGGTAAAGAATTTCCAGTCAAACATAGCAAAGAGCAACACAAATAAAGAAATTAACCCTCTACTGCATTTAGTTTCACTTTCAATATCCTCAAGTATAGTTTCCAGAAGTTAGGGATGATAAGATAAAGAAATATTAAACTTGCCTTTTGCCTCTTTAGACTGCTCTGCTCGTTTTGTCTGTTTTGAAAGATTAAACATTTGGGCCTAGAATTTGTCCATAAATCTGAATATGTCATGCTCTTCCCTGCAAAATTAGAGGCCCTTTCATCATCCCTCCTTTTTGTCAGCCATTAAACTACTCACAGAACACAAATTAAATTCCACCCTTGTTGTTATCCTGATAGTTTGAACAACTGGACTTCAGTTTATCTGTAGAAAGAACATTCTGTAGCTTCGAAAATGCTCACGTAGATCTTTTTAGTTCTTGGATTTTTTTTATCTCCAAAACATGGATATCAAAGCAAGCCTGATTTTTTGCTCTTCGGTATGAGAAGATTCTAGATTTTTGCCTTTCCTCTTAGATTGCAGAGAGGATAAATAGTGCAACAGGTTTGGAAGGAAAACTCCCAGGCTGATCAATATTAAGCAGCACTAAAGCATGTACAGTATCACAAATCCAATGCCCACCTGAATTTACTGTACTTTTAGTGTCATTTACCCACCTTTCTCACTTATCACCTTCACCTCTGCTTATGTATCGTAGATCTGCAGTTTGAGACACTTGGCTTACCAGGGAATTTATGTGCAATACTGGTGAGAGAAAATAATAAAACCCAAAAGTGATAAGCATAGTGAAATTTAATTTTGAAATTATAATTCAAATCATGCTTGCCAGCTAGTCCATTAACATTTTCTAAGCTGACAAAGTACTCCTGCTTTTGCAGAACTAGGATTGATTTAAAACTCTGCTGACTGAGCTGGTATTCACCCCTCACTCAAACCCACTCTAGAGACATAACTGGCATGTTAGATTCAGTATCTTCAGATAAAAACAGAGAGCAAATGATTTTATTGTTGGTATAACCATCATACCACTGACATTTTTCATTACACCATTGCATACTTAGCTGTGGAGAAGAACTGATGGAGGAGGAGAATAATTGAATTTTTCCTTATTACTGAGCACATCTGCATTTAAAGCATTACATCTCTATTAAAAAAAAGAAATAAATTTAACATGGAAGTGCCTGCAGTTTTTGTATTTAGAATGCTTTTGGAACATGAATGCCATGGATATTAAAAGCTTGGGTTGGACAGTCACTGCTGGAGGGTCAGCACAGCAGCATAAAATGTCCTTCCCAACACCCACCCCCCTTTTTTAACTGCAGGGCAAGTCCTTTCTCACCGTGAGTTATCTCTGAGTGTTTACCAGCCATTAACTTGAAAGTGGCTATAATTTCTCAGCCTGTAATTAGCGATGGTGACTAAACCTGAGCAGGCATCACCCCGTCAGCTGTCTCGGATTACGGATTCAAGGCACCTCTCCCTCTCTCCCAGTCATGACAATTCATTAGTTCTGCTGCTCGAGAGCAGCTGTACCATTTGCGAGGTAATTTATCCAGATTCCCTTCAAAATTATCGCTGAAACGTGGGAAGATAAGTGATTTGATGAGGCTGTGTATTTACTGCCAGGTAACATTATAGGTTTGGTCTGTGGTCAGAAGTGATGGGAGATGATGTTTTGTGGGAAATATTGCCCTTTTTAAGGCGAAAAATTAATAAGTTCGACGAGGCAAAGGACAAAACACTTCAACACGTCAGTCATGTCTCACACTGTTATCCATAAAACACCCCTCAAACAGTACATGTGAAGATCATTAACATTTTACCTTTCTGTCATAGCATATTGCTGTATTTTTCTAAAAAGCCTCTGATTTAGTCAAAGCTGATCAAAGTATGAGAAGATATAAAATGCTTGATTACTAAAGTAGGGCGGGACAAATAAAATTCAACAGGCGTAACTGCCAAGCTAAAACTGGTGAATCAAGAATTTAGGGGTTTAAGTCATGCTCTGAAAAATACCATCAATGTGAGTTTTCTAAAGAGACCTGGAACAAATCTGCAATACTTGGAAAACTCCACAATGTGACTTGTGTTTGTTTTCTAATCCCAGGACAACACTCATTCCTGTACATGGCTGTGGGGAAAGACCCAACAGCAGGATTCAAAGCAGATCACTCCCTGGAATTCACATTTTCTTATTTCCCATTAATACTACATCAACAGACTAGCCATACTGAGCTGGACCTTAAGCCAGTTTTTAACTTCAGTGAAACATCTTCAGTAAAACAGAATTTATCCATCATCCAGTTCTCCTTCCCTGGAATAAACTTGCTTATGTTTCTTTCACAGTATATACATTTAGCCTCACTTCTGGTCCCCAGGACTGTGACTGAGGATGCTCAACTGCTTATGATGACAAGTTGTCCTATGGATTTGACTTAGCCTTTCACCCAGCTTTAGCATTCAAATATATACACACATTGAGTACACCGATATTTTTCCAGCAATGAAATGTCATAAACACTGACAACCTCTTCATGGTCTTAAATCCAATATCCTGTGGCCTCACTGACTTCTGGATTTTAATTTGCTATCCCAGTGCACAGTAATTTCTGGTTATCTCTGTCACAGTCTTAAGCACATCTCAAGATGAAATTCTGGCAGGTTGTCATGTTTGCTAAGAGCAGGTGCTCTGACTTTCCTTGCAGTTGTTTTTTTTCTCTCTGCTCTTTGAAATTGGGCGCCCCGCGCGCGGACGTTTCATCTCTGACCATCTGAATATGTAGATCTTTTAATCCCCATTTTTATACATATATGCAAAGACATTAATTTTAATCAGGGAAAGCTAAGATGTAATACCAATAAAAGAGGAGTTGTTAGGCATGACATTTCATTTATGGATATAGCTGAGAAGATTAATGTCTGAGCCAGCAGCCTGTCCATTACTACCTTCAGCTACTGGGGAACGAAACGTCGTGTCTAACAACTCATTCCTCACTGCTCATGAAAAATTCTTGCTGCCAGTTCATTCCAGCACCCTCCATTTGTCTATACAATAGTATTAATTAAACCATGAAACCCAGATAATTTTAAAGAAGGAGTTCTGCATGATTCTTTTCCAGAGTACGTGTGTACGTTTCCACATTTTCCTTTTGATTGATGTTTTAAATGTCTTTATTTGTGTGACTTACCTGAAGGAAGGTCAGCTCCTCAGGACTCCAGTCATTGAAAAAAACTTCAAAGCAAATGAATGTACCTGCAACCTGGATTCAGCTAGAAGACTGAACTCATTCCCTTTGAGCACTTTATATGGCAAGGGGTGGTTTTATGGTTTTTTCACAAGCAATTGATCACATTTCCTAATGGAGTTTTCCCTTCAAAATACAGAAAGCAACCTTTGGCTGGATACATCAACAGAAACAATACGCTGCTACTTACCATTAGTTCACCTGGACCAGTAACAAGAACAGAAGCGAGAAAGCAGACGAGTGATACAAAATTGAAAAACTGAATACAAAAATTGAAAATACTGCATGGACAGCTTAGGTAGTATATGCTTTTACAAATAAGGCACAGAATCGTCCTGATTATCAGGATTGACCCCTTACAACTCAGAAAGCCCAGCCCAGGCTCAGCTTCTGAACACTGAGCAATGGTGGTCAGTCTGCATTTTTAGACGTGAAGATTATCTCTGTGCCAAAGAAATCTTTCATGATTCCATTAGGGAAAAAAACACCAAACTAACTAACAAGCAAAAAAAACCAACCCAGGAAACCAGACCAGTAAATTGGGTAGAGAACAACTCTATGGCTCCCCCCACCTCAAGGCACTTGAAAGGAAATATATTTCGGTAGTGGGAGGAGAGAAGGAGAAGAATTAGAGGAATACAGAATCATAGAATACTTTGGGATGGAAGGGATCTTAAAGGCCATCCAGTTCCAATCCCCTGCTGTGAGCAAGGACACCTTCCACTAGACCATGTTGCTCAAAGTTCCATTCAATGTGGCCTTAAACACTTCCAGGTATCCACTGCTTCTCTGGGCAACCTGTTCCAGTGACTCATCACCCTCTGAGTAAAGGATTTCTTCCTAATATCTAATCTGAACCTTCCTTCTTTCAGTTTAAAGCCATTATCTTTTGTAGGAGAAGGGAGAATATGGGCAAAAGTATAAGCAGATTTGTTTCCAGACACCAATTCCAGAATGATTCTTCTACAACTGAATTAGGAACTGATTCTAATTGTCTCGGGTCCCTTTTATTCTCAAACCTCTCTATTCACACAGTTAAATTAATTTCTTGCTACTAATATGAAATGAGAAAATACACTTTTTAGAAGAAAAAACCCAATTATGCATCAAGTACAACACCTAGAAATGAAGAAAAATCCACTTTATTGTAATACTTGTTTAAACAGGAGGATATCTTTGCATTTTACCTCAGGTGATCATTTAACTGATTTAGGACAAAAAAAAGAAGCAATGTCTAACTTACCCAGCACATACAGATACCCCAAAGAAGAGTATTTATTTGCACAACAGATCAAAAGCAAAACAAAGGATTTGTTTGGTCTAAAAATAAAACATGGACATAAAGTAAAATTGCGATGTGACACCTCTGTGTGTGAGAAAGGGAAATAAAAAAGGAAGATTCTATTTTTCCCCATGAATGCAAATAGATTCATACCAATAACTCTGATGCTGTCTTGTGTTTAAAACAAAATCTTCTTCTAAGTGCAGAGATCAAGGGAATTTTTTTAACCTGCTGCAGAGAAGGAGTATCTTGCATGTCCTACATGACTCCCTGGAACAGTAACTGTGTCTGAACACAGAAAATGTAATCCCGGTGGTCTGAGCTTCCCCACAATTTCACATGTGCCATGTACACAATAAGATTAGCAGGAAAGCCCCAACCCTTATTAGCTCAAATACATGATTTGCATGATTTAAGAAAGCCCTGAAATTCAAAGGTGTTGGATGGCCAGGACTGCATCCCTTAACTGCAATTATTGTTCAAAAGACATTGAGAAAAATCCACCTTGTTCAAAATACACAGACTTGTTTGCACTACACAGCAAGTAGTAAAAGGCCATCCCCTGCCTTTATCAAGTGTTATTTCTAGCCATGTTTTGTATATTTTACCTAAATACTTTACAAAGCATTTATCTGCAGCCTAGCACGCATTGGTGTCACAAAATTACTTGACATCCCTTACATGTTTCAGAAGGGGGACTAGGATTAGCCTGACTTGGGAAAGTGTTACAGAAAATGGAGAATGATTTGTTGACAGTGACAATGGGTTTCTTGAGCTTCCCTCTTTGAGGAGATGCACTGGCTGCTACCAGCAGGTATTTCAGCACACAGCTTTTTCCCCCACTCAGGCACATCCTTTCTGCAACACAAAAATGTCACAGACTTGGCAGACATGTTAACATTTGCCTCACTCATTGTTACTGGAATTGAAGAACAAAAGACAAACTCAAAGCCAATTTTTCCACCAGGATTATTTTTTTCTTTGGCCTTCATGTTCAATGCATTTGGAAAATTCAGGATAAAGTGTCTGACATACAGGCTGTTTATAATTTCTTTGCTATGCCTATGATGCTGAAGAGAAAATGAGGTGGTTGTGTTGAAATAGCACGTGCTTGTTTTTGTATAGGAGGTGCTAAACACCTCCCTGGAGAATTAAAGAGAGAAGGAAAATGATAATTCCAGGGAAGAAGCACTAACACAGGGAAATCACAAAACACT